AAATATTTTGATTAAGTTTTTTTGGTGACCTCATTAGGAAGGTTTGTTTGAATAACATGAGCATAGAATTATCCATTATATGTTATTCATATAACAGTTATTTTTTCTTGGGAAAAAAAAAAAAAAAGAAAACCTTCTAGTATAGCATTAGCTTCAATAGTACTCATGGAGTACAAAGTACTTTTTCTATTGGGAAATGTTCTCATAATTTTAGTTCTCATAATTCCTGTCATTAGGAAATTACTGTTGACACTACTTTATTTTTTGCAGCAGGGCTTCTCTAGTGGCTCAGTGGTAAATAATCCTCCTGACAATGCAGGAGACATAGGTTCAGTCCTTGGGCTGGGAAGAACCCCTTGAGTAGGAAATAGAAATGCACTCCAGTGTTCCTGCCTGTAAAATTCTATGGACAGAGGAGTCTGGTAGGTTACAGTCTATGGGATCTCAAACAAGTCAGACATGACCTAGCAAGTAAAAAATTTTCAACAACTGTGACACAAGCAATTCATTTTGCTTTTGACTGTCAATTGCAATTTTAGAGAACAAGTAAAGTCAAAATCACCCTAATAACAATAGGACTAAAAAAATATTTTTAAAGGAAGGATGAATGCTTTAAATGAAATCTAAGCCCAAGGATCTTAATCAATTTACAACTGCAGTTGAATACAATTTATATTTTCTAAAACAGTTTATTGTCTTATTCCTTTTCAATTTAGAAATACAAGTTGAATATTCCAGAGAAGTTCCAAAAATCCCAGTTTAATAGCTTGTCTAGTAAAATAGTAAATTTTACATTAAAAGGAAAACATTAGTTTAAAACAGAGAACTTTCTATAAAAGGGAAGTATGAAAATAATTTGATACTAGAAAAAATTGAATTTAGAAGTAATATATATCTTCAAATTAAAAAGGAAAAGAAAGTGCACCTGCTTATTTTGAAAATAAAATCTCTAATAAATTTTGGATTAAAGTGGAGTTTCTAATAATTGTAAATTCATCTGCATAGGCTGTATACCTATAAATATATATTTTGTTTGTATATTTATTTCATCTTTAGTTTTGTTTTTATTCTTTTTTAGTAGAAGAGCAATTTCTGTTTCAGAAATCTGTTTTATTAACATTTATATATCTGGCTTTTTTTAAAATTATAAATCTATTTTCTGATTACTTTCTAAGTTTAATCAAACATTCTATCAGCACCCAAATATACATTTTTCTTGAAAGATGCATTGTCCACAAGTTATTTTTTTATAACCCTCCAGGGCTTTTAAATCAGACTATATCCTCCATACTTTAGCATTCTTTTAAACCCTGTGTTTCAGAATGAACAATATTTGTGATAAAATATTGGGTCTCCTAGAATATATTACTGTAAGATAGCAGGATCTCCAATTGTTTTAGGAGATGATGAAGATAAAATTGTAGTTTAATTTCCTCTGATCCAAAAAAACTTCCTATTTGTGACAGCATACTTATCAGCTTAATAAATAGTGATATTTGGTCATGTTAACTATTGTTTACAACATTTTTCATTTCTGACATCTTACTATAGGATTTGCTCAAAATATAGAATTTGACTAGGTCAGAGACATTGAAATAAATATTTTAAAACAATCATTATCCTAATTATTCTAGAATATTAACTAGATTCTATTATCAGACATTCAAAAAATATTTTTATTTATATCTAATAATCAGGAATGTTTTATGCCATAAATTAATACATTAAAAGTTTGCTTTAGTACTGAATTTATTGGATTTATAAACTTATAAACTTATTGCATTGTTCTTATCCTCATATAAAAATATTTCTTACCTTGTGAGATAATAAATATTATTTAAAAATGTATAGCAAGACAGTTACATATATAAATAGATATTTATACATGTGTATGTATATACATGTGATTATGTATATGTGTCTATATATCATATACTTTAACCATGTAGCTCCACAAAATTGTCAATAGAGATAAAAGCATAATTAATAGTCAATGTGCACAGTTGCTTGTTTGAGCAAAATATGTACTGTTTCAAGTTTCCTTCCTTAGAAATGATGAAAATTGGCAAAGACAAAGCAAAATAGAAGTGGCAGTTGAATTTATCATTGTCATGTTTGTATTCTTTCTCTTCTCTGCTTTTCTTTTTGAAAACTTGTAGGGAAATTATTCTTTTTCTGACTGAAAATTTCAGAATGTAACTTTAACCTGCTTTTAGCATCAAGACAAAATCAAATGATGGCCACTCACCAGATTCAGAAAGCTATCAGAAAATCAGCCAATAAATCTTTTTGAAATCATGTGGTCTCGTTTCCAATTATCTTTCCAAATATTATGATTGTCTCTCTATAGATTGGATATCTCTCCTCACGTACATGGTTGCCATAATTGTGGCAAGTTCCAAAAGAAGCTCCAAAATTCAGAAAGCAATCCCCTCAAACTATTCACTCAGACTCACTAAAATTAATCTAAAATTTCCAGGAGAGAGAAGTAAATTATTTCAATTTGAACAAGGGTCAAATTGATCTTTCTTGATGGTTCAAATGGCAAAGAATCTGCCTGCAACGTGGGAGACCTGGGTTTGATCCTTGGGCCAGGAAGATCTTCTGGAGAAGTGAATGGCAACCCACTCCAGTATTCTAGTCTGGAGAATTCCATGGAAAGAGGAGCCTGGCGGGCTACAGTCCGTGGAGTCTCAAAGAGTCAGATAGGACTGAGCGACTAACACTTTCACTTTCAAATTGATCGAATTCTAAACGACTTGGCAGCGAAAAGCTATTTCCCATTCCATTTAGTGACAGGGATGGCTAACATAGAAGATTCATTTAGAATGGGGCTGGAAAAGCGTGAGAAATGCACTTATGTATTTGATTAAGTGAAATTATTTAATGATTAAATAAAAATCATATGATTACATAAAAATCCCTGTGTACTATTTATGAATACATCGTTATATTTATGTCTAATATTTTTATTTTACTGTTTACAATTGTCCTTTATCTTAACTCTTGGCTAATTTTTCTAAGGAAGATTTCCTGTTATTTGTGACAACACTTAGTCTAGTTATTTTTAGAGAACAGATGCTCACCTATCCATTTCACCAGTTCATATAGCAGGGTAAGTCTGGGGACATGTTTATCATGGTTATGTGCTAGTCGCTCAGATCAGTTATGTCCGATGCTTTGAGACCCCAGGTGTTCTGTCATCCACCAGGATCCTCTGCCCATGGAGTTTTCCATGCAAGAATACTAGAGTGGATTGCCATTCCCCTCTTCAGGGGATCTTCCAGACCCAGAGATTGAACCCGGGTCTCCTGCATTGCAGGCAGATTCTTTACTCTCTGAGCCACCAGGGCAGGTATAAAATGTACTGTTTAAACTAAATCACTTTCTTTTTTCAGGTATTTTTGGCTGAATACACAGGACCTCTGCTAATATATCTCCTCTTTTATTTGAGGATCCCGTATATATATGACATGAAAGAGAGCTCTAGAAGATTATGTCACCCAGTGGTACAGTAAGTAATACACATGGTGCATATATATTAAGAAGGAGACAAACTAATACACAGATATTATGTTAATAAATATTGTAAACTCAATTAACATGGATTCACTTTTAGGGAAATATATTTTGTAAGTTTATAAACAAGTACCTATTACTTAATATACTTAATATATTAAATATACCTTAGAGTGGAGGTAAATTCTGTTAGTTATTATCACAATCAACAAGCTAATGAAACGCTTAATGTTACAAAGTTGAGAGGTCATGTATAGGGCACAGAATATAAATAATTCTCTAAAAATATGGGCAAAATTGCATAGAAAATCAATACTAACTGAACTAATAAACTGGGAGAAAAAAAGGTTTTAAAATTTACTTTTTGTAAATCAAAGGCCAAAATCAAATTTAACTTTGATATAAAACATAAAAAAAGACCAAGGACACTTATCAAAGATGAATATATAAGTATGATTCTTTACATACTGTGGAAATAACCTCCTTCTCTCTGAAAGTGAAAGTTGCTCAGTTGTGTCCAACTCTTTGTGATTCCATGGACTTTCTCTAGGCCAGAGTAGTGGAGTGGCTAGTCTTTCCCTTCTCCAGGGGGTCTTCCCAACCCAGGGATCAAACCCAGGTCTCTCACTGCAGGTGGTTCTTTACCTCTGTCCCCTATATTAAATATCAAATTAAAAGGAAAGAGAATAATCATTCAAGATGCGACTTGGATATGTAGAGTTGCCAATTTATTTTTTTGAAAAACGAATCTGAGCAAATGCCTAAATTCTAAGTGAATTAAGAAGCAAAATTCAGATCATAGGGATGCTATATAACAGAGAATAACTTGACTCCTGGATGTCCCATCTCAAATTAACCTTTCATTCACTCTTACTTCTGGACTGCAGCCACAATGCCCACCCTTCTTGTTCTGATATCTGCTATGCCTTTTCACACAAGGGCATCTACACACATTATCCCTTTTCCTCCAACCTTTCTTCATGGCCTCCCATTTTCTTATGTCTATTCAAACTTCACATAAATCTCAATATTTCTTATCAGCATTAGCATTTCTATTCCTTCCATGAGAAATGTGTTACTAAAATATTTCCCTTTATACAATTTATTACTTTACAATTATATATTTAAATCGTCATTTTTGTTTTTCACTCTATGAATTTAAGTTATATAATGAATGTCTTTTGATGTTCAATCTTTTCTATTAATACTTAATACATTACTTGATTTTTAAAAAACACCCAATAGTAATGTTTTGAATGAATAGAGGCATGAAACAATTACATACAAATTTATTTGACATTGGGCTTTTTAGAGTATGTAAAGAGAGGAACCTGAACTGGATGTGTGTTCTGAGATGGGCTTTTAAAAGAAAGTTATGTTTAAATATTTTTCTATGTTTTCTGAAGGTATGTGAGATTGTCAAACTAGTAACTGTGAGAAATATTCATATGGAAATTATCTGTGGCACATAGAAGTTTGATGCTTTGTAGGAGCAGAGAGAAAGCTTGTGGAGCATGTGCACAGGAGGCAAGGGAAGGTTGGATCTCAGGGATCATGGTCAAGTTAGTATAGGACAAGTTTTTCAGGTCCTTTGGTAACATGAAAGTCAGTATTTCTTTTTCTTAAGTGAAGAGAATGCCCAATTCATTTAGAAAGAGTCTGGGGTGGAGAGTTTATTGGAGAATGTAATTGCCCTCATTTTTTAGATCAGACATATAATAATAGTGTGCACCAGATATATAGCACAGCATGGAGAAAAGACCTTTTTCGTCTTTTACCCAAAAACATTCTCAAAGGAATTGACTGATGGTTGCTATTCTTAAACACAAACATGGTGTGTTTTGTAACATCTCAGTGATAAATGCATTAGTGCCACATTCTTCCTAAAGCACAAATATGTTAAGTTTATATGAAATCATTCAGAGTAGATACACACAAACTACTTTTGAAATTTAAGTGTCTAGTAAAGGTCTATAAAATAATCCCAAGGTCTCTAAGGCAATTCAGTTTCAGGACGGATGATGCCTTTTCTCAAAGTTAAAAAGATAAAATTTCAAATCCCATATCCACCTGACATATAATCCAATGTTGCTTCTTCCAAGTCACTTTGAATCATATTCCAGAGCATTTTTCTGCTAGGTGCCAATCCTTTTGTGACTCAACTGACCCCAAATTCTTTGGATCTCTTACAAAGCTCTGTACACTAGGACTAAGGACAAATCTCCAGCATGATCCCTATGCTTCTCAAGTAGGGAAATGGTGGCCCATGGCTTGATGTAATGCAGATGTTCTTTATTCAATCAGTAGTATTTTAGAGAGCAGACACATACTTAAAACTGCCATGGTCCCTCCCAGCAGAGGGATCTAGTGAACTAGATGCACATATGCCTTATGTGCATCTCCTTAAGACTTTAACTGCAACATCAGGGATGAAAAAGTAGCCAGAGAAAACTTTCCTGTGCTGAGTATCCACAGTTTGAATATCTGCCTTAAATACAAACACAAAACAAACAGACAAACAAACAAACAAAAAAACCACAAAGAACAAAACAGCTTTTGATATTTGGATACTTTGTCCTTGTTTAGGTCACTGACCTTATGAACTCCCCACATTCAGATCATCCCTCATATTTCATATTCCATTTAAATATGCTCTAAAACCTTCTATTTGTTGCTTTTACTGAACTTCACTCAATTCCCAGAATTCATACACTGTGCCTTCTGCAATTCAGTATCCACCGTTAGCAAAATCTCTTACACTGGCAATCTTTTATCTGAACATTGCCTTCATATTCTTCCTCAAAAGAAACCTGATGCAATGACTGCCTTGCAACTTTATAAAATTTCTTAACAGTCCTCATATCTTGAAACTTAGTTGATAAAACATAAGAAATCCTCAAATATTACAACTGGAAAAAAGAAATGGATCCAAACCTACTTATGGATGTTCTATTAGTTTATCACTGGAAAAAGAAAGATTTTATGTTTGAATGAAAGTCAGCTATAACTAGGGCTTCCCTGGTGACTCAGCTGGTAAAGAATCCACCTGTAATGCAGGAGACCTGGGTTCAATCCCTGGGTTGTGAAGATCCCCAGGAAAAGAGAATGGCTACCCACTCCAATATTCTGACCTGGAGAATTCCATGGACTATATAGTCCATGGGGTCTCAAATGAGTTGGACAGGGTTGAGTGACTTTCACTTTCACTTTTTCAACCATAATTAAATATTTTGAAAGGAAATCAAACTTGGTGAGTTATCAATAATGTACAAAGTGGTGTATATCCAAATATTAAGACATTGCTATTTGCTATGCTAATCTCTATGCCCTAATGGTATAATAAAAATTAAATAAGTGAACTAACTTAATCATAGCTTAAACTAAAATTTCTCATTCAGAGCTCTGCTTCATTGTTGGACAAAAGATAATTTTTCTGCTTTCTTACAAAATGTAAAATTCTATTACTCAGGTATTTATACAAATACTTCTACAAATGAACCAATAAGTTATGAGAGATACTGATTTTGTCAGTCCCTTGAACCCACAGGCAACTTTCTATATCAGAACCTTTGCTTTTGTTTCTTTTACTCTCTAGAAAGCTTTGCCCCCAAACATATACACTTTACTGTCTCACTTCTTTCAAAATTTGCCTGTTGTTCATAGATCTGTACACCACATAGGACATCTCTCCCATAACAGGTGTAGTTTTATTTTTATGTATTAATGAACAGTGATATATTAACTAATGATTTAGGTATGTTGCTTTGTTTTTGTTTATCTGTTTTTCCCAAAATCACTCATTAGTACCAGAAATCATCAATTCATCACCAAAATATAAACATACAGTGTAGATTCAATGTTTGATTTTACATATTATAGATGAAATGCTGATTTCTATGCTTAACCTTCATTGATTTAAGTATATAATCTTTGATAAATATTGATTTTCTTGCATAGCAAACATAGTTGTTGAAATTTTACATGTTTATTTATAATAAAATAGGTGTGTATTTGAAGGAAATATATTTTAAGTATAAACAAAGAAACACACATCTGTAAACTGTATTTGACATTCACTTTTTAAATATTAATTATACAAATGACAAGAAGAGGTGATGGGTTAGAAAAGCAACAAAAACAAATGACATAAAGAGACACAAAATATTGCAATATGTTAGGCAAGAAAACAAACTAAAAAAAAAAGCTGCATTGACTCCATAGGAAGTGAAATTCAAACTTTTTCAATCTGTGGTACTTGTTAAAGGACAATCAGGCAATGAAAAAGCTATGTTGAATATTATAATATGTCAAATGCATTCTACGTAGGTTGTAAATTTTCTGCTTCAAATTTAAGCCATTTTGATAGGATCACATTTATAAGTACTTTATATATATATATATTCCTTGGAAAGATGTGAACATACTGTTTATGACTGGTATTATAAAATATCTTGAGTGTCATCAGAAGTAAATTTAAAGAAACTGTTGTAACAGTACTTTTATTATTAAATTTAGAAATTTTCTAGAATAAATAAAATAAAAATATGAAAACTAACATTTGTGTTTTAGTTATCAAAACCAGTATTTTCCTGATAAAGAGAAAGTCACAATATATTAATAAAGATGAACCTATTTACTAAACAGAAATAGACTCATAGATGTAGAAGACAAGCTTATAGTTACCAAAAGGGAAAGGTGGGGAAAAGATGAATTGGGACACTGGGATTGATGTACACTACTAAATATAAAACAGATAATGAATAAGAACCTACTATATAGAACAGGGAACTCTATACTCAATACTCTGTAATAATCTATATGGGAATATAATTTAAAAAATAGTGGATATGTATAACTGATTCACTTTTTTGAAAGGCAGAAATTAACAACATTGTAAATTAACTATACTCCAATAAAATTAATTTTAAAAGATTATCTTCAAAAATAGAAAGGGAAATAATAGCAAACTAAAAAAAAAAAAAGAAAATATCTTATGCATAAGGTGAATCAGATTTTTGGAAGGGAATTTAATGTGTTTGTGTTTTATTTTCTTTCTAGCTTGGCCTGCTTCTGTCATTGTATACACTATATCCGATACCTTTTGGAAACCTTATTTGTTCACAAGGTTTCTGCAGGACATACACCTTTGAAAAATTTGATAAAGGTGGGCACTGATATGTTTTGTAATTTTAATTATTTTTTAAAAATTTTATGTATAGGATCATCTATATCATCATTTAATCATGCTTATTTCTCTCAAGCTTAGATTTTCTGTTCAGGTGTATCAGCATATCTTAAACTGCTGAAATGCTATTTTCTGAATGATCTGGTTCATCAGAGCTGCCCCCAACAAATAATGTTACATAAAATATTTGCCATGACCTTATGTTACAAGGTACTTTTAGGCACCTTTAATTTTGAAAATACTTAGCACTGAATTCAGACTAAGTACAACTTGTAGTGGAAGAATCTGATACATAAACCCTCTAATAAATATAAATTTGTATGACTAAAATGATGATGCTGTATCCTCTATTTGTGGTTGTTGTCAGTGTAATAACAGGATCTCTGCTCTCCCCAAAAATGATGAATATAAATGCTATTAACCATCAAATGATTACCAAGAAAACAGGAAACACTGTGGAATATTGAGATGGAAATGTACATTAGACAATATGGTATAACTTAGTTTACCAATTTAAATTGATTTTACTTTCCTATTTAAAATTTGGTTTCAAAATGAATTATATCTTCAAGACCTTCCGGGGTTTTAGCAAATATTCACTTTCCAAAATTTTTGAGGAGGGAGCTATTCTATTTTTGTCATTAAAATGAAACAGTAAACTCTTCAACTCTTAGAAACCTCAAAAAATCATTTAGACTAGCTTCTCTTTTGAAAGAAGGTATTAACATTCATCACATTAGTATCAGATCAGCATCATAACCTAGTAAACCCAAAATGGTCCATTTCTCTTCATAATCAATCAGGAAACATTAGGTAACTCATTCATTTATTCAACTACTTTGGGGATATGACTCTTGGTAAATCTTATCTAATAGATTAATTTATTAGTTTTATTAATTCCCTCCTATTTATTACTTGACAGATAAAAGCTATTCTTGAAAAAAATCTTCCTAAAACACATTGCTACATTTCTCTATATCCTAAATACTAATTTATACTAGCAAGGGTTGAGCAAAGAAATGTATTTTCTTAGTGATATCATATAGGTGCTTTTAAGATGTTAGCTACTTGACAGGATGAAGAAGCATTCCACTTATCAGGCTTAGAAAATTTATAACCTTTTTATACCAAATACTGTGATATGGAATATTAATGTATGGTGTGGATTCAAATGATGTTATGTGTATATATATTCCTTAACTTTTATTTTGTTTTATTTGTAGAGTTGTGCCTTTTATTGGGGATTCACTTCTTGGATTGCCTACTACATTAATCATCCACGGTATACACCACCATGTATGTAGAATTTCTTCTTAACTATCCCCATACTAAATTGCCAACATCAAAACTCTGTTCTAAACTACATAGAAATGATGCATGACATGGCACACATAAAGGAATAAGAAAATAATGAAAAAATATCAATTTTAAATTGCTTTCACACATACTCCATTAAATTTTTATGTACGATTTGAAGATAAAATTTGACTGACATATTTTGATTTATTTTCTCTCCATAGAAACTGTAGCAAAAAAATATAAGTTGATTATAAATCTCAAAAATGACAGATAGTAAAATGAAAGGGTAAAGATGAAAAAAAAATTCCACATAATCACACAATTATGTACAATAAACTGTCAAGAGTTTTTAAATAAATATTATTTTTTTAAAATATAATTCAAATGGAAAAATAAAGGCTTTTTTTTCCCCCTGTGACATATTGCTTCCTATAACTTTACTAAATGTCTTATCCCTTGATGCAGATGAACCAATTTAGTGCAATGCACACTGGAACAAAACCTAAACCCTTATTTCCTATTCTTGGGGGAGACATACATGTCCTGATCGAAGAATTCCAGTTTTTAAATCTTCAGTGGACCTTTCCTCAACTTTTCCTGCGGTCGAAAAGACACTTATAGCAGAGCCTATATATAATACATATATAATATGTGTATTATATGTATATAATATATATACATACATTATATATTATGTGTGTATTATAATACACATAGTATTATATATTATGTATTATAATACATGTAGTATTGTGTGTGATATTTCACACTTAATTGAGAGTTATTTTTTGTGGTCAGTTCCTACCTTATAAGTTTGAAAATAAATGAATATAAATGCTGTATTCAAGCCTTATTTTAGATTTTATAAAACAATATAAACCTTAAAGATGTTAAATTAATATCCTTACTTGAAGTAGTGACACAGAGAATTGTATTATTCAGAGTTTTTGCCAAAATCTACTACAGCCATCGGAGCAAATGATTTCAGTGTTCAGAACTTTAACTCTTTGTAAAGAGATGGGAAAACCAAACCACCTCATCTGACTCCTGAGAAATCTGTATGCAAGTCAAGAAGCAACTATTAGAACTGGACATGGAACAACTGACTGGTTCAAAATTGGGAAAGGAGTATGGCAAGGCTGTATATTTTCACCCTGCTTATTTAACTTCTATGCAGTGTACCTCATGCAAAATGCCAGGCTGGATGAAGCACAAACTGGAATAAAGATCGCTGGGATTTAAAATATCAATAACCTCAGATATGCAGATGACACCACCCTCATGACAAAAAATAAGTAAAAAGCCTCTTCATAAAAGCGAAAGAAGAAAGTGAAAAGGCTGGCTTAAAACTCAGCATTCAAAAAACTAAGATCATGGCATCTGGTCCCATTTATTCATGGCAAATACATGGGGAAACAATGGAAACAGTGACAGACTTTATTTTCTTGGGTTCCAAATCACTGTCATTGGTAACTGCAACCATGAAATTAAAATACTCTTGCTCCTTGGAAGAAAAGCTATAAGCAACCCAGAGCATTTAAAAAAGCAGAGACATTATTTTGGTGACAAAGGTCCATCTAGTCAAGGCTATGGTTTTCCCAGTAGTCATGTGTGGATGTGAGAGTTGGACCATAAAGAAGGCTGAGTGCCGAAGAATTGATGCTTTTGAACTGTGGTGTTGGAGAAGACTCTTGAGAGTCCTTTGGACTGCAAGGAGATCCAACTAGTCAATCCTAGAGGAAATCAACCCTGAATATTCATTGGAAGGACAAATGATGAAGCTGAAGCTCCAACACTTTGACCACTTGATGCGAAGAGCTGACTCATCAGAAAAGACCCTGATGCTGGGAAAGATTGAAGGCAAAAAGGGGGTGACAGAGGATGAGATGGTTGGATGGCATCTCTGACTGAATGGACATGAGTTTGAGCAAGCTCCAAGAGATGGTGAAGGACAGGGAGGCCTGGTGTGCTGCAGTCCATGGGGTGGCAAAGAGCCGAATACAACTGAGTGACTGAACAACAAAATACTAACTAATGAACTATGAATATGAAAGGAAAAAAATTCCCTGATCTTGATCTCACAAAACTCTGATATTTTAAAATATTTTATCTGAAAATGTACTTTCCAACTTTAGAATATGAACAGAGGGGGAAAAAAGATATTTTTGATTCATGATATTTAAGAAAAGGAGCCTCAGAAATTTGCTGCATTCATTTATATGATGCAAAATAATAGAGGTTAACTGTGCTTAATATGTGCAAAATACTTACAGAAAATTTATTATTTGGCAAGAGCTGTAAAATTGCTATTTGTTTTGTAATTAGAAACAACATTTGAGGGTTTTGGAGACTCAAGAGGAAGGTGTGTGCGTGTGTGTGTGTGTGTGTGTGTGTGTGTAATTATGGCTGATTCACACTGATGTAAGGCATAAACCAACAAAACACTGTAAACTAATTATCCTTCAATTTAAGAGTCAAAAAAAATTAAATGAGAAAAATAACATTATGCAACTGTTAATATTCCCAGTATATATTAGGAAATGAAGGTTCTAAAAGCTTAATTTTGCCGTGCTTAAGACTTTATAATAAATATGATATAAGTAGGATTTCAAATCTGTGAAGATATATAGAGCATGACAATAACTATGCCAAGTGGAGAGTGAATATCATGTACAGGCACTGCATGCTTTGCATGGCTCTGATATGCATGTATTTCAGTTCTTATAGTTCAGTTAAATAATACCAGCCCCTAAATCCACACTTCAGATTTCAGTTACCACATATGTGAATTGCAGTTACACAAAGTACAACCTTTGCAGTTAGCTCTCAGTCTACATATCACTCTATAACTAACAGATGCACATCATGGTCAGTGACATCTGACAGTGGTTGGTACTGCACATTGCTTATTTAGTTCACTCACAACCAGCAAATAGCTGGAACAAAATTGGCACTTTGGCACATTTGAAAGCAGTAATCTGAGCAAAAGGCTAGTCAGCCCCTAGTATGCCAGACCAACATATTCTGGATAGATATTTTTTGGAAAAAAAAAAATCACATCAACTTGATCTTAAATTTTGATCTAAGTAGGAGAAGCTCAAAGCAAAAATATATGACACTGAAAGGTGAACTCCCCAAGTTGGTAGGTGCCCAATATGCTACTAGAGAAGAGTGGAGAAATAACTCAAAAAACAGTAATGAGACAGAGTCAAAGCGAACACAACACCCAGTTATTGAGGTGACTGGTGATGAGAGTAAAGTCTGATGCTGTAAAGATCAATGTTGCATAGGAACCTAGAATGTTAGGTCCATGAATGAAGGTAAATTGGAAGTGGTCAAACAGGAGATAGCAAGAGTGAACATCTACATCTTAATCATCAGTGAACTAAAATGGACTGGAATGGGTGAATTTAACTCAGATGACCATTTTATTTACTATTGTGGGTTAAGAATCCCTTAGAAGAAATGGAGTAGCCCTCATAGTCAACAAAACAGTCCTAAATCCAGTACTTGGGTACAGTCTCAAAAATGACAGAATGATCTCTGTTCAATTGTAATGTAAACCATTCAAAATCACAGTAATCCAAGTCTGTGCCTCAACCACTGATGCCAAAGAAGCTGAAGTTGAATGGTTCTATGAGGACCTACGAGACTTTCTAGAATGAGCACCAAAAAAAGATATCCTTTATCATTATAGGGGACTGGAATGCAAAAGCAGAAAGTCAAGAGATACCTGAAGCAACAGGCAAGTTTGGCCTTGGAGTACAAAATGAGGCAGGACAAAGGCTTACAGTTTTGCCATACTGCTAAGAACAGACTGTTCATAGCAAACACCCTCTTCCAACAACAAGAGATGATTCTACACATGGACATCACCAGATGGTCAATACTGAAGTCAGACTGATTATATTCTTTGCAGCCAAAGATGGAGAGGCTCTGTCCAGACAGCAAAAACCAGACAGGGAACTGACTGTGGCTCAGATCATGAACTCCTTATTGTCAAATTCAGACTTAAGTTGAAGAAAGTAGGGAAAACCACTAGACCATTCAGGTATGACCTAAATCAAATCCCTTACGATTATACAGTGGAAGTGACAAATAGAGTCAAAGGATTAAATCTGATGGACAGAGTGCCCAAAGAGCTATGGACAGAAGTTCATGACATTGTATAGAATGCAGTGATCAAGACCATACCCATGAAAAAGAAATGCAAAATGGTTGTCTGAAGAGTCCTTACAAATAGCTGAGAAAATAAGAGAAGCTAAAGGCAAAGGAAAAAAGGAAATATGCACACATTTGAATGCAGAGTTCCAAAGAATAGTAAGGAGAGATAACAAAGCCTTCCTCAGTGATCAATGCAAACAGAGGAAAAAACAGAATGGGAAAGACTAAAGATCTCTTCAAGAAAATTAGAGATACCAAGGAAACATTTCATGCAAAGATGGGCTCAATAAGGACAGAAATGGTATGAGCCGAAGAGAAGCAGAAGATATCAAGGAAAGGTGGCAAGAATACACAGAAGAATTACACAAAATAGATCTTCATGACCCAGATAGCCATGATGGTGTGAGCATGCACCTAGAGCTAGACATAATGGAGTCTGAAGTCAAGTGGGCCTTAGGAAACATCACTATGGATAAAGCTAGTAGAGGTGATGCAATTCCAGTTGAGCTATTTCAAATCCTGAAAGATGATGTTATGAAAGTGGTACACTTAATATGCCAGCAAATTTGGAAAACAGCCATGGCCTCAGGACTGGGAAAGGTCAGTTTTCATTCCAATTCCAAAGAAAGGCAATGTCAAAGAATGTCCAAACTATGGCACAATTGCACTCATTCACATGCTAGCAAAGTAATACTAATTTTTTTCAAAGCCAGACTTCAACAGTACATGAACTGAGAACTTCCAGATGTTCAAGGTGGATTTAGAAAATGCAATGGAACCAGAGATCAAATTGTCAACATCTATTGGATCATAGAAAAAGAGAGTTCCAGGAA